ATCTTCTATTTCTTTATCGTTTTGCTTTGTACAATATCCGATTCCAATCATTCTATTAAAGAATAATATCAAAGAAAATTTTATAAATAGCACGATAACAAAGGCTTGTTTATGACATGAAATAAAGAAATTATAAAATTAACACACCCAATTTTTCCTTTATTTATAATTTTAATTTCAAAGTAAAATATCCCACATTGTGAGGGAACTGGTTGATTTGCTCGAATTATTACAGCTTTATTATCATCATGCCCTTTATTGAAAAGTTATTTTTTTAAAAAAAAAATAAATAACAAGCTATGTGTTATTCTTTGGTTAAACTACAAGCGATTAACGCTCATTAAATCAAGATATAAATTTAACCTAAACATTTTATGAGGTTTCTCACATTCATCTTACCAGTATAACTCACACTCAATCCATTTGAATCTATGCTGATAGATGGCGAGTTATTTTCAATATCCCATGCAGTCGGTAAAATAATTTCACCTTCCATTAAGTAGGTCTTTTGTCTAAAACGTTTCGTAAACAAATAAATTATGCAAAAAGCATTTAAATATGATTTTGTACATGACAATTAAAAATATAATACAGTATATAGATAAAAATATACTGCGTACAAAATTGTGCAAAATTTTATTATGCTAATGCGGGCTAAAAAATTTACTGTGAATAAATCACATATTTAGAAATATGATCCGGTAAAAATCTCGACTTTGATCAAAATGTCTCTAAACCTCGTTTTGCTGTGTACTGACCCATATATGAAATAAAATGATAGAAAATCGCCAATAGTTTTTAAATTATCAAACTACTACAAATATTAAATGTACAATTATTCGTGGTATTTATAAATAAACTAGATATGTTTATTTGACGACTTCGTCGTCATCAGGTTTGTTGTAAAGTTGTTTATATATATGTAAAAAAATTTTTTTTTTATTGTGCTGTGTATTTCTAAGTACAAGCTTTTTAAAAATCTATTCACAAAATTATGTGATCAATAACAATCGAAATGTCATACATATTTAATAACGTTAATTCTGAATTAAGATATGACATAACTAATAAATTTCTAATTTTTTCTCACGTTTTTTAGATAGATAATAATATTGTCATGACCTTAAATGGTAAAGCACACAACTGATGTAATTGACTGTCGATTACTAATTAGTTACGTACGTACCGTATTCTGTTCGCCAAAGTACCCGCCCGTGTGATGCAATTTTTTTACAATTGAAAAATTATGAAACGCGATTATTACACATTACATGTTGTATAAATAATATTTTAAAAATTGATCTACGTTAGTTGTCACGCCGGGTACTTTGACGAATGGTTTAATTTTTCCCACACTTAGTTCCCATTTTTTGGATACGACTAATAAAAACATTTAAGTGCACAAATTCAAACTTAAATAATATATACAGTCAGACCTCTCTGAGAATAATAAAAAAAGTGCATTTTATGGAGGTCAAGTATATATTTGGGCCAGCACTTGAGCGCATTTAGAGAGTGTGTGCACTTATAGAGAGTGCACTTAGAGAAATCTGACTGTAGATTAAATATATTAAAATAAGCTATATTCATCGATAATGTTGTCTGTGAAATTATTTTTGTAATAACCTTGATGATTGATAAAACCCTGAAAATTTATGAAATTGACAAAACCCGCAGCATATTTGCGAGTATTATAAACTCCTAAAACGGGTACGAATCTTTTTTCTTGATGGAGTTACAGTAATAAGTTGCTTGCCTATTGATCGACAATACATAATGATTCTAAATTAAGCAAGTAATTAAATTATTCGTTCACACGATATTAGGTCATTATGCGCTTGGCTAATTTCATCGGTTCGATTGTCATGACATGTTTAAGATAGATCTGGAAGGATCACCAAATTTTCGTTACGATTTTTTCGCAGTTGTCTTTGATGATCAGAGATTATCATTTCATCAGCCCGGCAAAAAATTCGACGCAGAGAAAACAAATATTTTAAAAAATTTCAAAAAAATAAATAAATAAATACGTGAAGGGACATCTTTAAAATGTTAGAGAAAGTCTTTTTACTTCTCTTTTAGTTAAACCACGTGGTTAAATTTACAGTAATGCAATGCATTATAATCTTTATAAATTTTGCAATAGAATATATATTAAAAAAATGGCGGATGAGAATTCTTCCTTATTTGGTATTGTGAGGAAATTTGTTTGTCGATCCATGCAAAATAAACAGGAAAACGAAGTAAATTTATAACTATTTTGGCAAGAAATGTATTATATCGATATAACACAATTACGTAAGGTAAGATATGCACGCCAAAATTGAATATTGTTAATAAACATTCGCGCGGTAAGTGCTTTCATAAAAAAAAAAAGAATACAATCGAACGGTGATTTCTAAAATGAATAGCACATTTGACTATACCTTAGTATTTAGATTTACTTACAATTAAAATTATATATAATTATTCAAGCAAATGTTATCTGATATTTGTATTTATTTATTTATTGCCATACTTCTAATCATTAAAGTGACAAATACGTACTTGTCAAAAGCATGTTATTATCAAATATAATTGAAGATAATCATGAGGAGTTCATTTATTCTAAAAAAATCCGTTGATATATTTTTTATTGTTCAAATAACTTCTGAATCAGAAGATTCAAATGGAATCGTATTGAAAACCATGAACATAAAGCATTCATTTATTATCAAAAATCGGCAGAAATGATGGAAGTTAGTGAATGATCAGTCTTGGTAACTATTATAAAGATGAAATTGGAATTGAAAAAGATGAATATAAGGTTTATCAAAAATCAACAAAGATGAGAACATTAACGGAAATATAATACTGGATTATTTTTTATGATAAAAGAAAAGAATGAACATGAAACGTTCATTTATTATCAAAAATCATCAGAAATGGGAAATGCTATAGAATATATAATATTGCGTTATGGGTTATAGAAATAAAAAAGAGCTTGCAAAGGGCCAATGAATGATACCAGATTTAAGTTACTTTACACTACATTTTATAATAAATTATTCAATTTTTCTTAAAGGCAAATAAATACACAGGGTATTATTGGGTATTGTTGTTTCTCGAAATTTCGATTATGAAACCACCTTTTGGCTTCTACCAAAAAAATTCCTAGCAAAATTTTGGTATAAACTAACCTTTGCCCAATCCCAAACTTCACACTTACCCAAGGGTTTATATTTCTTTTGTAAAAATTTTGATTACTATGCTACACGGATTTATAAAATAATACCCGTGTCTATACACAGTATACAATTTTAGTAAAACCGCTAAAAAAATACTAATATACTATTCGTTACTCAATTATTTGACAACTAAGTTTAGATATTAATTAATTCCTAACATTAAAAATTTTGATCAAATTTCAAATTTTACTGCATCAATTCTTTATTTAAAAATGAATCGGTCACTATAGGGGATGCTTAAAATCAAATACATCGCAAATTTAATTAAAAATTATTAACGTCAAAGTTAGGGTCAGCTATACATGTGTGCCTAAATTCGGGGCAATTTACGCATTACGGCATTTTTTATATTTTCGGCAGCCTCTTCAAAATACCTAAATGCCGAAAATAATTACGGCTGCCAAAATTATTTTCGGCAACCGAAATAGTTTTCGGCAGCCATAATTATTTCGGTTGCCGAAAAAAATAAACTCATAATTTATTGCAGTTACAAATCCTACTTACTCCTTTTGGACAACCTTATAGCTAATGCTCGGCACAATCAAACAAAAACTTGACACCAAGGACCTGTGGATTTTGTGATTTGCTGTGATCGAAGCAAATCACAAAAATTATGTGGTTTACTGCGATTTGCTTCGATTATAGAAAATGCACTTTTCAAGTGTACACAAAATACTATTGCAAATTAATAAGGTAGTTATTTTAGAGTAAACCCGAAAATTCATTATTTTATAAAGCATCAAATTAAAATTTTTATTATATTTCAACTATGTTAATCAACATTATTTCAATATTATTAATTAAAAATTGAAATTGCATCAGAATTTCGTTTCATAAACATCAATTTACCAACAAACTTGGGATCTAACCGATTGCGATTAGCAGTAATATGATTGCCCGCATCTGAAAATAACCTTTCACTAGGTACAGAAGATGCGGGGATAGATAAGTATTTTTGAGCTAATTTTGCTACATTAGGAAACCGGTTTTTCCAACTTGCCCACCATTCAAATGGATTTATATGATCTTCTGCAATAGGAGTTAGTACCGGATCCAGATAGTATTCTAATTCTGATAAAGGATTAGAAGTTGTGTCAAATGTAGCAGATGTGCCAAATATTGATGAGTGAAGACGATTATGATGTAAATTATTATTTGAAGTATTTGACAAATTGGATGTTGGTGCTGCTTGCTCTAAGTCTGAACCAATTAACTCTTGAAATTGATATGCTAATTCAGTTTTTGCCTTTTTTTGAGTTTCATCATCCCATGTAGATAGTGTCTTTAATCGGGGATCCAAAAGTGAAGCAAACAAGCCAATCATTATCAGTTTATTCCAATACTCAAACAAAGAATTATAAATTGTACATCACATAATTTTAATAATTTGAGTATTAAGTGAACATTCCTCATTTAAATGTGTTGCATGGTTATGAATTGATGGTTCCATATCTAAATCCTCATCACTATCATCATCGGATGATTCTTCATACCAAAAGTTAGGTGTTTCTATTTAGAAAATAATAAATGTATTATTTATAAATTTGCTTTTGCATAAAATAAATAGAATTTATCTTAAAATAAAACAATACCTTCATCATTATCATCGTTATCATCACTAATTACTTCAGGATCAACAAATGCATATTTAAGAGCTTGAATTACTGGATAAATAATTGATAAAGTTGCATAATATGATCCACTAAAATAAGTCATAGCATCTTGAAACGGCTCTAATAAAGTTACTATTTGACTTAACAAATCCAATTCATTGGGTGAAAGAAGTCGTTTATTTAACTTTTGTCCATCAGTTTGATCATCTTGGTTATCAGACAAGGGTAATGTTGCAGCTAACCACTCAATTGCTTTACGTAATTTTAGTAATCGTCTCCAAGAATAAAATTTAGAATTCCAGCGAGTCTCTATATCTACAATGTTTCCAAAATAGGCTCTTTAGAATTTAGATTGTTTGATAACAAATCAGCTGAATCACTATCAAATTCATTTAATTCATCAGTTAAGTTAACATTTGTTTGATTTACAGAAGTTACTGACAAATGCCGCTGATATTCTTGTTTAGCTTCATCCAAACGCTCACTTTGTTTAGGAGAATCAGTAAAAAACTGAACTAGTTTTTTTATTCTTCGAATATGTACTTTAATTTTTTTAAAAGCACGACCAACTGCAAGTTGCAAAGTGTGTGCTGCACAAGGCAGATACACAACTCCATCCCATAAATGAATTGCCTTCACCATATTACTTCCGTTATCTGTTGTAATACAAGTGATTTTTCCATTTAAACCAAATTCTGTTATTTTTTTTTTAATAAAAACAATAATATTTTCGCCAGAATGAGGATAAGACATACGTTCCATACAAAGAAGACAATCATACATCTTAAAATCACTTGTTAACCAATGAACTGTTAGTCCCATATATCCATGCTTGCTTCGTGAGGTTCATAAATCAGTTGTTAATGCTGCTGATTTACATGTACTATCTAGTAATGTCTTTAGATTTTCAATTGAATTATTATAACCAACGATCATTTCTCCTTTCATTTTTTTATTGCAGGGAATTTTAAAAGCCGGATCAATAATTCTCATCATCTTTTTGTATCCTTTTCCTTTAGTTACATGGATTGGTAAACCATCAACAATAATCCATTCAGCAATTGCTTGCTGAATTTCCTGATTTCGTGGTTCATTATGTAATTTAGTTTTAGAATGTTCAATTGTTTCGAATAGTGTTTGCTGAATAGTATGATCTTGCTTCTATAAAATAATAAAAATAAGTATTATTTTAATTGTACTAAATATTATAATCTAGTCAATAAAATCTTACTTTATTTTTCTTTTCATGTAAGTTATGTTTAATTTGAAGGTGGCTGCTCATATTTCCTGTACCACCATTGTAAAGAAGCTTATGGCCACATTTAACTTTCTTGTCACTTAACGCTGCTATTTCAACTGAACATATACAGAAATTTCCATCTTTGCTTAAAGTAAAATGCTTCCATACCCAACTGTACTTTGCATATTGCCGCCTGGACTTAGGATAGTTTAATTTATTATTTTTTGTAGCACGAGGTTGATCAGAATAAGTTGTAGAAGTTTCTTAGCTGTTAGACCTAACCAATGATACATCATCACTTGACTCTTCAAAAAAGTCATCACAAATATCACTTTGGCTCATTTTTATGGTGAAAAAGAAAGATTATAGCGAATATGCATTTAAGAAAAAAAAAAAAAAAGAGCATAATCAATCGCTCTAAAAAAAATAAAAAAAAGCTGAAGTAAATTAATAACACAATAATAGCGTAAAATGCATATTATATAGTAATAATAACGTAATAGAACATAACGTTTAGAACAATAATGTAATAGAACATAACATTTAGTAATAATAACGTAATAGTGCATATCTGATATTACTCTTAGAAACCTGATCATCCGAATTAATCCGGATTGGTCAGATTACGTCAAAATGGTTGTATCTGATTTCACCCGGGTTATACCCGGGTTACTTGTATTGATCCGGGTTAACCTGGATTAATATAACTCGGGTCCAAACACTAATACCGAGATAAGTTAACTCTCGATCTCCTATCGCTGATAGATTTTGTTTATAGTCAGAAATTTCTAACGTTTTATTTAGATCCAAAAGTGCTTCATCATATCTACGCATATTACAATAAGTTTTACCTCGACTTCCTAATGTTTTTGCATTATTTGGTTCAATTTCCAATGCTTTATTTAAATCAACCAGTGACTCTTCTAATCTTTCAATCCAGCAATAAGCTTCACCTTGATTCCATAATTCGAACGCGTTATTTGGTTCAATTTATAATGCTTTACTTAAATATCCAATAGCCTTATCATATTTTTTCAACATACAATAAGTTGCCCCTCGGTATTGTAATGAAAATACGTCATTTGATTCGATTTCTACAGATTTATTTAAATCCTTAAATGCATCCTCATATTTTTGCAATTTACCGTATGAAACACCACGATATTTCAATACAAATGTATCATTCGGTTCAGTTTCTAAAAATTTGGTTAAATCTGTTATTGCTCCCCCATATTTACCCTCCTCAAAAAATAACCTTTCCCTCTTTCTTTCAATTCCATAATATTAGTCTAGTTTCATTATAATAAGCGTAGAAACACTTAAAAGATTTGTGGAATGATTTTTTGCTGATCAAAATCGTGTGTATATACGTATGTTACCTTTATTTAAATTAATACTTAGGATTGGTGATAAAAGTAGTAAGTAAACTATGCCAAAATTTTGAGAAACTCTTATATACCAAAATTTGAAATTTTAGTGTGAAGAAAGTAGTTTTTTAAATTTGATTTTCAGATTGTTTTTTTTTTAAAAAGAAAAATTTGAGTTACACCTGACCTTGTTTCCTGATTAGCAAGAAACAAAAATTGGGTGGAATTCTGTTCAGGTTATATTTATAAGATTTTAAGTTCGATGACTTTTGATTCCATAAATAGATACATGCATTACTCTGTACTAGCAGCCATGTAAACTTTATTTTGAAATTATATATACGTACTGTACATACGTACATACTAAAAATGTAAAATTATCAATTAATAAATTCTCAAATCATTCCTGACTTAACTATGATAAGAATTTTATATATATTACTTTATATTTGCTTTTGTTGTTTTTTTTTTTTTTAGTTAGTGTAAAACATAAATAATATTGTACTCACTTTCGCTTTGATTTTTGTAGAGTTTGCAGTTTTCGTCATCGTTTTTGTCGTCGCTTTTTGAAGTTGTCAATTTCATCATTCTTGGTGTCACTGTTAAAGTCATCGATGTGGCTTTTGGTTTAATATAGCTATATCTAAATCACCTATATCATAGTAATAGAATGTTTTGATAGTAAATCTCTATATTAATAATAATAAATTCCAAATACAAAACTATATAATCCTACCTAAATCACAATAGTTGGTAAGTACAGTAACAAATTTTTTATTGCAAGTCTCAATATCAATCACAATTAATTCAATACAAAATTAACATGTTCTTATCAAAATCATTTATGTTATCACAATAATTAGAAGTACAGTAGCCAAATTTACCAATTTTTACATAAATCACTACAAATCATGAGAATCCAAATCATAACTCTATCTAAATCATCAATGCCAACACAACAATTGGTAAGTACAGCAACCAAATTTTTTTTACAGCAAATCTCTATACCAATCACGATTATTCAAATACAAAATTAATATATCTCTTTTAAAATCACTAATGCCATTGAGAATAGGATGTTATCCTGCTTGCCGAAACTCAGGTTGACCCTGTTTGGAACCGAACCCAATGGAACTCGAGTTTTTATGGTCACAGAATTTTTATTATCAAAACATGCTCCAAACCGGTTTTAAATAGATCAGGTGAGCAATATTGATTAACCAGTAATTAAATTATTACTATTACTATCGTTATGACGAAATGAAAGTTAATTAAAATTGGTGTAAAATTACTATCATTATTTTGAACAAAAATCAATTTTCTTTGATTTTTTTTTTTAATAAAGTTAATTTAAAGCGATGAATAAACAATTGCCATCATTATGACGAACAAAAATTGATTTTTTTAAAAGTGAATTTTAAATTGGCATGAAATTACTATCGTTATTATGAACGAAAATAATTTTTTTTGATTTTTTTTTTAATTAAAAATTAATTAAAGTGGTGTGACTATCATTATGAATAAAAAATTACTATCATTATGACAAACAAAATCAATTTTCTTTGATTTTTTAAAGTGATTTTAAAGTGATGAACAAAAATCAATTTTTTTTAAATTTTTTAAAAATTAATAAAGTGGCATGACTATCATTATGATGAACAAAATTAATTTTCTTTGATTTTTTTTAAATTAATGAATCAATTTATTATTATTTTTTTTAATTAAGAATATAAATATGTGATTTCTTTCTTTGTTTTCCATACATGTTTTTAACTTGAATTTTACAATTTGATGGACAAAGACAATGTATTAGATTTAATTGAATCTACCTCTTCAAGTATCTTGTCTCAAAATGTATTTGAATCTGGAACGCTTATTGAGGTAACAAATAATCCTCCAAAGTGATTAAAAAAGGACCCTTTCAGGAATGAACTTACTAAAATCAGTGATAAACAACATTGCAAACTTTGCAATAAACCTTATTCAATAGAAACAGGTCTCTACTATTAAGTCTCATTTTAAAAATAACTATTTAGAGAGGTGAAATGAAATTATAGTAGCCGTTAAGGCAAATGTTAAACTTTACAGTGCCGATAAGATTTTACAAATCAACCAATATCTTCTAAAATAGATTATCACAGACCAACAGCCTTTTTCTATTGTCAAAAATAATAATTTTAAAAAAAATTATTAATAAAGTAATCTCATGGTATTTTCTTCCATCAAGACAATATATTTCACAAAGCATTTTAAATTTATATATTGATAAACAAATTAAACTTGCTAATTTTTTTAATTCAAGTCACCAAAAATTTGCAATTACGACGGATGCTTGGACCTCTTGTACCAACCTTGGATTTCTTGCTATTACTCTTTATTGGATTGATAAAACCTGAAATATGAAACGAATTCTATTAAGTATGATACCACTTCATAAACTACATACCAGTAGCTATATAAACAAAAAAATCTTGAAGGAAATTTCAGTTTATAATATTGGCTCTTGAATTGTTTCTGCAACAACTGACAACACAGCCAATATAAAGGTGTTTGGACATTTATTTCATGAAAAGCTTCGCAATGAACATGGTAACAAGGACTTTGAGAATGTCTGTTGTGCTGCTCATGTGTTGAACCTTGTGGTTTCTGTGGGTATGAAAGTTGTAGTCAATTCAATTACGAAGTTGCGAAACTTCATAAGTTATATATGTAAATCCCAACCATTATTTAAAGACCTTAAAAAGGTCTTTCAAGCAAATGGAAGGCCTTTTCCGTACCTGATTTGGACATATTGATGAGATGAAACAGCACATACAATATGATTGAAAAATGTTCTGAATTTGTCAAATGACCAATGACCTTGTTGAAGATAACCCTGCTTTAGAGAAACAGTATTTAAATGAAACTAAATAGCATGAAATTGAGGTTAGTATATTTGTTTGTATATTTTTAAATATAATAAAATAAAATCAATTAACTTATCTGTTATTTTTAGGCTATTGTTCTATTACTTGAGCCTATGGCAAAAGCAACATTAATTTTATCATCGTCAACTTGTCCAACAATGGGGGATTTACACATGATATTTCCTACAATTTTAAATATTTTACACAGTGCATTGAATAGTGAAATTCAAATAAATAGTCAATTTGCACGATGAATATATAAAAAACTTAATGATTATTGGATTATTCTTTGAACTTGTTGTAGTGTGTCAGTTGCATTAGACCCAAATATGAAATTACCTTCATTTGATGATGAAACAATAACAATTGTGCGTAATCTATTGTATAGTATTTATGAGCAATATAAAGAACCAGGCTCATCTGTTAATGAAGATACCAATGATTCTCCAAGAAATTACTTTAGAAAACATCGTAATGAAAATTTAACTACTAATTCAAATATTCTTGATGAATACCTTATAGCCGTTGAAGAAAATTGTAACCCCTTGGAATTCTGGAAGACACGATCCACCAATATATGCTATTCAGGGCTTTCGAGAATGGCAAGAGACTATTTGATCATGCAAGCAACAAGTGTGCCAAGCGAAGAAATGTTTTCAAAAGCTAAAAATACAATTAGCCCAACCCGTAACAGGTTGTCCAAAGAAAATGCCTCTGCAAGCTTCTGCTTAAAAACCTGGTATGAAGCGGGCATTATTGACTGCAATGAAGACTAATAAATAGAATAAAAAAACAAAAAACATAAATAAGTAAAAAAAAAAAAATAGCAATAACATTATAAAAAATCATATATTATAAATCTATTGTTATATATTTGCTTTAAGGGTAGTGATTATCAGTACGTACAAAATCAATTATCATATAATTTTAATAATTGATATAATAAATATATCGATACAGTATAAGTTATACGTATAAATAATAAAGTACTTTAAAATGTAAGCAGGTTTAATTAAACTGTTTATGCAAGCATAATTATTAGTAAGTACATTTATATAAATATGCTCCGAGCAGAGTTCCAACAGGTATTAAGCACAAGCTAACCGGTTGGAGCAGGATAACTTCCCTAATTGAGAAGTACTGTAATCGAATTTTTTACGGCCGATTACTATACAAGTCACGGCCAACTCAGTACAAACCTAACATACGTACGTAACTCCTCTTCCAAATATAATACAAAACTAACACAATAGTCAGTAAGTACAGTAACACAAATCACTATGAAATCACATTCCAATTCAAAATTAACATAACCCTATCTAAATCATTACGCAACCATAATAATTTGTAAATACAGTACTGTACTTGAAGACTATTATGGTAACATACCAGAATTCTGTTGCACCATATCATTATATTTCCGAAATACTGTAATGAACGATTGAAGATTCAGAAAAGGCCAATGAAAAATCGGGTGAAAGATTGATAAAAGGTATTATAATAAATATCATTATCATTAAAGCTCTTTGTCTGTTTGTGTTAAAACGATCTGATTTTCTAACTGGCCTTTAGTGCCGGCAAGTGTTAAGTATTAATGACGTATTCATTGTATTAAACCTTGAATTACTTCCGGTATACTACTAAATTTCTACAATCATGTAGTAAAAGTTTAAACTATTACGAAGAATTGATTACTGTCAAAATATTATTTGACATGATTTAACTATAGCATTATAGCAGTATTTCAAATAAGTAATCATTATTGGACATTAAATAGATAAGTTTGATTTAATTTATAATCTGGAATTTTGGATCATAAAAAGTTGAATAATCAGTTCTTTTTTGTTGCTAGACAAAGATGAAATCAGATATGTTTTTGCCCGTACACAAATTATTCTCTATTCGGTCATTCATTTCATAGGCAGGCTTACAAAAATTATTTCACAAACAGCTCATTGTGCAGACAGATTTATCTCACCGACAAAATAATTCTAGGTACTATTTCGAATGTTTAATTTTAGGATAGAGCTTGTTGGTGAAATGGGCCATCGATGAAATAAATTATCAACGAAATGACCTTGTCTGTGAATTGATCGTCTGTAAGATCTTTCTGAATTAGTTGTCTATGAATTAAGATGTTTATGAAATATGCTTAATACTAACGTTTTGCTCTTTTAAGTTTTTAGCACTTTTCAAGTTTTTTTAGTAAACAATTTCATGTGATCGATTAAAATTTTTGATTGAAATAAACATACCTACTTTATACGAAAATTCGAAAAGAAAATGGGTCTTTGCCTTGAAAATGACCTTACGGTATCATGTACCGTAAGGTCGTTTTCAAGGCAAAGACCCCAAATAAACATTGAATTTTTTTTTTTGGTTTGTTTTGTAAGTGTATGTAAATTTACTAATTATTTAGCGACTTAGCGGAAATATTTATTTTCAGCAGCAAACTAGCACCTATTGCAGTATTGTATCAGAGTTACTGTATGATTTTCGAAAGTTATTTTCCTGAAAAAACGTAATACTGATTAATTATGTTCTTTCGGAAAAATAGCTTTTGAGAACTTGAATTAATTATTGTATTAATTAGCAATTTGCAGTATCATTTTATTTATTTGCAATATTGTATATTACGTATCAGTATCAATAAAAATGAACTTGAAATATCAAACAAAAGTAAGCTTATTCTCTTGAAAGTAAAGTACCGAACAAAAATCTTGGTTGCGTTAGAGGCACTTATTTTTTTAGATTTTTTTTACTCGCAAAAGGAATTCTGGAAGTGCATAAATAAAATACTTTTACTTAATAAAATAGTTGAATTTTTTTTTTTTTTATTGAAGAAAAACAAACAATTGCGTAATTTATAGCTTACAAAAAATTTGTGTTTAAAATTTCCTACTGTATCAAAATTTCATATAATACAGTACCAAATTATCTTCAGTACAACACAATATATTCATATTCGATAATGTATGCACAAGTTATTATTTATTTTTATTATTATGTATTATTTATTATTATTATTATTAGCACGTCTTGAATGTGTGCCAGGTTAGTGGCGCAGTCAGCCACACCTAATGCGTGATTTATTAATGCGATCGAAATTATTAAGTTGGATAATTAAATTTCACAAGTTTAGCAAGAATATAAAAATATGCATAAGTTAAAAATAAATTCAGTTACAATATTTTTAACTAATATAATTCAATTCAATTGATTTTTTGCAACGTTCCCACCCAAATTATGTTCTTTTTTATTAACTTTTCATTTTTTTCAGAACGGAATAGTTTGAGAATCAACATTTTCTTTCATTCTATTTATATTAGTACCCAACTTTCTTACTCTACTAGACCCTTCCAGTTTATGACGTTTGACAGATTCTACCTAAACACGTATCATAGCACCACTTTTAATACATATAGCATCCACGTTGCTGTTAATATTATGTTAACAAATGCATCCAGTTCAACTTGAGGTATCTTAAAGTCCGATAAGATGGTAATTGATTAAAGTTTTTGATTAAATATGTATACGGTTAAGAAAGCATCATTTTTAGAATTTCAGATAAAGAATCCCAAGTATAAATCTAATGAATATTGAAATGTCATCAAAGAAATCAAATTAGAAAATTTCATTTCCCATTGAAATTATTCAAGCAAAAAAAAAAATCTATCCGAAAAAAAAAAAAAAATTCAAAAAAATCTATCCATCAAAAAAAGTTCTTGAAAATCGTCAAGTAATTAGAACTGTGTTAATATTTGGATATATGACATTTTTAAAAAAAATTCCCTCTCGCTTAGCAGTAAATATTTATTTGTTGAAGCTTTTTCAATCGTTAGATAATTTTAATCAGTATGTGCGTACTACTTACGTACGTACGTACGTACAGTATGTATGTATTTTGCATGATCGTGATCGGCGTGGCTTAGGCTAACTGCGCCATTAACCTGGCACACATCCAAGACGTGCATCATCAACACCCATGAGAATATTTCCGCACTCTACCAAATAACGATATTACTGTGAGATAATTATTGATGGCAATGTTATTTTTCACATTAGTACAGTTACGTCATCAATTTATATAGGATATTTTTTTTAAAAAAACGTAAACCGTATAAATATTAGTGCAGTCATCAATAACATGGCTACACGATAATTGTCATAAGGTTATAATTTGTTACACATACTACATTATATAAATTATCCTTGTGTTCTTAAATTCATTTTAATGGAGAATGCCAACCAGTTCCTCAAACTCGGAAAACATTATAATAATTTTAAAAAAGAATATGAAAAAGCTTTTCTATTTTATTTAATATCTGCTAATCTGGGTCATATCGAAGGAATGGTCCTTGTTGGATGGTGTTATCAATATGGAATAGGTATTAATAAAAATTTGCAAAAAGCATTCGAATATTATAAACAAGCTGCGAATAAAAATGACGGAGAAGCATTATTTCAAGTTGCAGAATTTTATCATTTAGGTATTCATGTCAAAAAAAACCGAGAGAAAGCATTTGAATACTTTTTAAAATCAGCAGAATTTGATAACAAGATGGGAAAATTCAAAACTACTTTATGTTATGGACTTGGATATGGTGTTGAAAAAAATATTAAATACGACGAATGGGCAAAATTTAGTGAAAAATATTATAATATATACGATCGTGATGATAAACAGGAAATTTGCAAAAATTGTAAAGAAAACAAAACTGGAGAGAAATGGTGTTTCATGTGTGATCCTGATATAACAATTCAAGGGTGGACGAGTAAAAATAAAGTTACCGATGATTTTGTAAAAAAAATACAAATTAGGACTTTGAATTATGAGAATATGATCGAATGGATAACATTTGATAAATTAACCGATATTGAAAAAATTG